GGGGAGGTTGCAGTGAGCTGAGATCTTGCCATTGCACTCCAGCCTGGGCAACAGAACAAGACTCCATAAAAAAAAAAAAAAAAAAAAAAAGAATTTAACTCAAAACCACACAACTACATGCAAATTGAACAGCCTTCTCCTGAATGACTCTTGAGTAAATAATGAAATTAAGGCAGAAATCAAGAATTCTTGGAAACTAATGAGAACAAAGAGACAATGTAGCAGAATCTCTGGGATGCAGCTAAAGCAGTGTTAAGAGGGAAATTTATAGCACTCAATCCCCACACCAAAAAGCCAGAAAGATCTCAAGTTAACAACCTAACATCTCAACTAAAAGAACTGGAGAACCAAGAACAAACAAATCCCAAAGATAGCAGAAGACAAGAAATAACCAAGATCAGAGCTGATCTGAAGGAGACCGAGACACAAATAACCCTTCAAAAAAACAAATCAACAAATCCAGGAGCTGGCTCTTTGAAAAAATTAAAATAGACCACTAGATAGACAAAGAAGAAAAGAGCGAAGAGTAAAACACTATCAGAAATGATAAGGAGATATCACCACTGACCTCACAGAAACACAGACAATCATCAGAGAATGCTATTAAACACCTCTGTGCACATAAACTAGAAAATCTAGAAGAAATGGATAAATTCCTGGACACCTATACCCTCCCAAGACCGAACCAAGAAGAAATTGAATTCCTGAATTGACCAATAATGAGTTCTGAAATTGAGGCAGGAATAAATTGCCTACCAACCAAAAAAAAAAAGTCCAGGACCAGATGCATTCACAACTGAATTCTACCAGAGGTACAAAGAAGAGCTGGTGCCATTTCTACAGAAACTATCCCAAAAAATCACAAAGGAGGGACTGCTCCCTAACTGATTCTATGCGGCTAGCATCATCCTGATACCAAAACCTGGCAGAGATAAAACAAAAAGAGAAAACTTCTAGTCAATATCCTTGATGAAAATTGATGAAAAAATCCTCAATAAAATACTGGCAAACCAAATTCAGCAGCACATCAAAAGGCTTATCCACCATGATCAAGTTGGCTTCATCCCTGGGATCCAAGATTGGTTCAACATATGCAAATCAATAAATGTGATTCATCACAATAACAGAACTAAACATAAAACCCACATAATTATCTCAATAGATGCAGAAAAGACCATCGAAAAAATTCAACATCCCTGCATGTTAAACGCTCTCAATAAACTAGGTACTGAAGGAACATACCTCAAAATAATAAGAGCCATCTATCACAAATCCACTGCCAGTATCATAATGGGCAAAAGCCAGAAGCATTCCCCTTGAAAACCAGCACAAGACAAGGATGCCCTCTCTCACCACTCCTATTCAACATAGTATGGGAAGTTCTGGACAGGGTAATCAGGTAGGAGAAAGAAAGAAAAGGTATTCAAATAGGAAGAGAGGAAGTCAAATTACCTTTGCAGATGACATGATCCTGTATCTAGAAAACCCCATCATCTCAACCCAAAAACTTCTTGAACTGATAAGCAACTTCAGCAAAGTCTCAGCATACAAAATCAGTGTGCAAAAATTGCTAGCATTCCTATATACCACCAACAGGCAAGCAGAGAGCCAAATCATGAATGAACTGCCATTCACAATTGCTGCAAAAAGAATAAAATATCTAGGAATACAGTTAACGAGGGAAGTGAAGGACCTCTTCAAGGAGAACTACAAACCAGTGCTCAAAGAAATCAGAAAGGACACAAACAAATTGAGAAACATTCCATGCTCATAGATAAGAATCAATATCATGAAAATAGCCATACTGCCCAAAGTAATTTAATAGTTTCAGTGTTATTCCCATTAAACTACCATTGCCATTCTTCACAGATTTAGAAAAAAACTATTTTTAAATTTACATGGAACCAAACAAGAGTTGGAATTGCCAAGACAATCCTAAGCAAAAAGAACAAAGCTGGAGGCATCATGCTACCCAACTTCAAACTATATTATAGGGCTACAGTAACTAAAACACCATGGTAAACTGGTACAAAAACAGACACATAAACCAATGGAACAGAAATGAAGGCCACACACGTACAACCATCTGATCTTCAGCAAACCTGACAAAAACAAGCAATGCAGAAGGAGTCCCTATTTAATAAATGATGCTGGGAGATCTGGCTGGCTATATGCAGAAAATTGAAACTGGATCCCTTCCTTACAGCTTATACAAAAATTAACCAAGGTGCATTAAATACTTAAATGTAAAACCCAAAACTATAAAAACCCTAGGAGAAAATCTAGGCAGTACCATTCAGGACATAGTCACAGGGAAAGATTTTATGACAGAAATGCCAAAAGCAATTGCAACAGGCAAAAATTGACCACTGGGATCTAATTAAACTAAAGAGTTTCTGCACAGCAAAAGAAGCTATTGACAAAGTGAACAGACAACCTACAGAATGGGAGAAAATTTTTGCAATCTATCCATCTGACACAGGTCTAATACCCAAAGTCTACATTGCGCACTGCTGTGTTCCATTGCTGTTTTTCTGACCCATTGGTTTTTACCCAGGGTTCTTACCTGGTTTTCCAGCTTCCTCACCAGGCAGGGATCTAGGCTTCTCCTCTATGCCTTGGACTGGTAAAATCAGAGAGAGAGCCTCCATCAGGGCCCCTTGCCAATCTTCCAGATATCTATAGTTGCTTAGAGATCTGAGACTGTCTCTTTCCTCACAGGGAAAGGCTATTCCAACCCCAGAGACTGCGGGCCAGTCACTTCCCACTCCTCTCTCCGTAAAAGCAAAGTCCTCAAATAACGACTACTCATGCTGCACCCATTTCCTTACCTTTGAAAGGATATGAGGATCAGATGCAAAAAGCTTCTAAAGGTGGCTCTCCCTGCTGTCTGAGGAAGTGGAAGTATGAAGATGGATCGAAGAATTGACTTGAACTCCTTTTAGCTTCACTGTGGATGGTGGTGGTGTTACTTATACGCATTGCTGGCACTTGGCTTCTGTGTTGATCACTTTTCTGTTGGTCTGAGGATTCTCTCCATGCACAGAGTCTAATGGATATCCAGAGGCAGTGCATTACAAACCAGTCACTCCTAAAAGAAGCTTTAGTGTAAAAAGACCACTCATTTTCTTAAAATGAGTTCCAGCAATATAATTTTGCTCAAAAAGAAAACTTTTTCGTTCCATGAAAAAGAATTCACCATCAGTTACCAAACCTGATGTTTTCTTTGCTAAAGTCAATAATATAAATACAAACTTGGGCCCACAGTTTAGTGTAATTCTAAAGCTCATTCTTACTGTAAATCTAATGATTGAGGGAACTTTAATATTCATTATCTCTAACTTTCTGATGTTCAAGAAAACGGAAGTCCTACAATGTTAGCTAATCGCTTCAACCTGACTTGGTTAGTGCAAAGTCAAGTACTTAGAACGCAGTTATCAATCTCAGCTTATTGTTTTGTCTTCCCCACTACATTGCCTTTCTTAAAAAGTTATCTTCCTCCACCTAGCACCCCAGTAACCTGTGACTCTCTTTGTGAAATATCCTTTATCCATCACTGAAAAGAATTAAATGGAACGACTTCTTACAGTAAGTAATCCAAAAGCCCAAGTGATAGCTGTGGGTCATCAGATCCCATAGTGTGAGCAAGGAAGAAGACAGAATCTGCCCTTGCTGGCCCTTTATCAGCTCCCAGGACTTGTTGAAGACTTTCATCAAGAAAGCAAGTGATTGGATTAAGTATCCATGCCTTTCATCAGCTGCTGTAGGTCTTGGCAGTGTTACTGCAATGCTTTCACCCTTTTCATTTTTCCCATCCATTTGAAATGCAGTGTACCTAAATTTCCAACAAAATCGTAACACAGACTCTGTCAGTTAATTAAAGTGTGCTAACAAGCATACAAATTGCTAAGTCACCCTGGGAGGCTATCAGTTCTGGGTGTACTTATACATTCAGCACTGGAAACATGCCTTTCCAGTAGTACACAGCCAGAAATACCAAGCGGGTTTGCAAAGGACAGGATTAACCTTGGCCTCATGGCATTTTGTCTTTCTCCAGGGAAAGGAAGAACATGGAGACAACAATTGCAATACACAGTGGAGAACTCAACACCTCTTGATTAAAAAAAAAAAAAAAAAAAAAAAAAAGATGAATAAAAAAGAAGTTTCCTGAAGGAGTAGGATAGAATTTACTGCAGAAAGAAAGTGGTAGTATCTCTCTATTTCAATTTAACTGTTGTTCCCAGGCAGATACAGGTACTTCTAAAAAGACATAGATTCAAGAAAAATAGTATTTTGAGTCATAGTTACTAAATGAAGCTACAGCTCACAATGATCCTTGGGATGAAGACTATGACCCCCAGCAAAGTTACAAAGGATTCTGCTCTGGAATTTATCAACTGCTTTGTTTGTTCTCTTAACAGGTAAAAAATGCAGCTGCCAATGTACTCAGGGAAACATGGCTAATTTACAAAAATACAAAGCTAGTAAAAAAGATAGATCATGCAAAAGTAAGAAAACATCAACGAAAATTCTTGCAAGCTATTCATCAGTAAGTATCATTTTTCATTTTTATCCTGCTTTTGTGTCCTTGGCTTTCAATTTTTGCACTTGGTTGTTCTTGTTTCATAAGGAAAGAAAAAAAGAAAACATTGTCATGTTTGCTTCCAGAAGATGTTATATGGCAATTTAATCATTCCACAGTAAGATCCTGAGAATAACCTCAGTTCCTTTAATGGTTAAAAATCACTTATTAGTACTAGAATATTAGTTAAAATGTCTTCTCAGTTTCTCTTTAGAATAACTTCTGCTAAGATGGTATTTCTTAATTTAACATATTTATTCAGATAGTTTGCTCTAGGATATTTTTAGCTTTATTTTCTAAACATAGCTTCAAACATATTTATATGAATGTAGTGCATATAACTGATTTAATACTTGAATTTTAAATTAGTTTTTAATCAGAAATTTGGCTGTGTTCATTTTAAATGTTCTAGTTTGTGTAGACCTTTTACTCTCTTATCATTATTTTAACTTTATCCAAACCACTATTGTTTAAGTCCTTTGTGCTGTTCCATTGTCATATAATTAACATAGACTTTTAAAGTAACAATCTACATCTAGTAAGATGCATTGATCATTTTAAAGCACAGGGTCTTTCTCCTCCAGGCTGGCAGCATCCTTACTGTAAGTATTATTCATGTGGGTATCGATTGTCATGCCATGCAGACTTGCTCTTAATACCATTTCTGTATGGAGAAGAGCAGATACGGTCACATTTGTGGCTCAGAACAGTGGCTTTCTTTATGAAACCTACCAGGGTAATAATGGAAAGGTGGGTAAATACAAGATGCTTTGGCTATCCAATGAGATTTGTCTCTCAGAGCCAACTAGTATAACAGACAAGAAAACTCAGAGGCTGCAATTTTTATTTCGCATGTTCAGGTAATTCATATGTAATACGGTACCACTAACATTTTGTAGGAAATTACTAAGCATTCATCTTCTACCCTAGAATACAAAACCTGTCCATTGAACTGCCCTGCTTAAATAGGTATCACTGAAAATGTAGAATATGTAATTATGGACAGATTCATACTTCCACAGAAATTAAAACTCAAGTATCCTGAGATTTATAGTAGAGACAGGCTCTGCACATATGGTAGAGTATCTGGCCTTCATTGCTACTCACTCATGCTCTTTCCCCAGATTTACTAACACACTTTCCTAAGATAGTGATGCTCTTTCCTCTGTAGCTCAGTGACTTGACACACCACCATGGTTTTTCTCCCTTTGTAAGGAAAACACAAGGCTGTAGTTTTCAAATAGTACTCTTAAAATAAGGAAAAACACAGAAAGGAACATTCTATTCCATCCGACTCACAAGAGGGAACTTGCTCTAGACCTTACAGTTACAGTTATAATCCAGAACCACCACCCAGGAGCACTTGCCTAGACATCTTGATTCCTTGAAGTTTAGATTGAAGAGAATGAGAACGCTTCCTGCCTCCCCACCCAGAGATGCTGAGCTTTCACCTCCATGTTCCTCAACCTATTTTCCTGTCAAACAGGCATCTTCCTCAAGGGACTCACCTCGCACAACTCTCCTATTACAGTGATCTTCCCCTGCTAAAACCATACTACATAGTAACCCCAACATTCATACAGGAGGTCCACAGGCCATACCATGGCAAAATCATTTTTGTACCTTTAATATTTTGATATTAACCTATATTTAGTATGTTAAAAAGAAACCTTACCTTAGTGCATGTGAGAAGATATGTATGTCCAGGGCGGAAGGGTGTGAGATGACACGGCAGTAAGCAAGTGTGGTCGGTCAATGTGTTGAGCAGCCACACATTCCATTGCCTCCAGGATCTTATCTGGGTCCTTTCCGGTCAGTCTGACCTATCAAATAGAAAATTACATGTGATTTACCTTTAATAATTTTTCATATAACAACAAATCCAAAAAAATGCTGTGATAGTTTTTGTAATACGGTTTTGTAGCCATGTGCAGTGGGAATTTGTATTACATCTTATAAGACTGTTCTGGACTATTATGTTCAGAATACATTCACATTCAAAAGCCTGGGGGAGAATTTAGGGGTTTTTACTGTAAAATGCTTTCAACTTTGCTGTAAGTTATTACATTTTTACATTAAAATATTACAAAAAAAAGTATTTGGGGAAGCTTAAAAACTGTCACTAAGCAAGTTGCAAATGCACCCTACAAGGCATGTCAGCCCTTTCTTAAGGGTGGGTACTGTGGAGTCGCTTGCACGGGGCCTCTTAGCATACTGTATTTGGACAGAGTGACAGAGGAAGCTACTTGTGATTTTTCTGCTTCTGTCAGACATTTCTTATTCTGTTTCTTCTGTAGCAATGTGTACTTCTAAAGCAGATAAGCTTCAGGCAACTCAGAAATGCTCTGAATTGCTTTATAAATTTTTCTAGGGGTTACCGGGTTTCCGTTGAAGTGGGGGACATTTATACTTTGTAAAAGTGTAACTATGTTTATTCATACAAGCTTTGTTTGGCTAGATCATTCTAATCATGCATACTTACCTTTCATTTTAGCTTAGTGTTGGAAGTTAGGGAGTGAAGTCATAGGGAAAGCACATAGGGCTCGATTCCTACGGGCAAGGCTTCCATTGCCCACTGTGCAGATCCACTGAGACCCTCAGCCTTATCTGTCGGCACGGGGTACAATCAGACCTTACTAGCTGAAGAAAAATGTTAAAATTCATTCGATAGATCACTCCTGGCCTCTCCTACTCTCTGATTTGTCCTGAGTGCTTTTTCAGCAGCTCTCTGCTTCTACCAGTCCCTGCTGTCTCAACTCTGTTTCTCTTTTCCAAACTTCATAGCCTCTCTATCCTCTGTTGGATGCTGAACTGTCCAGGCCTGTGCCCTCTTTTCAGTAATTTTCTTTTTAGATTGTCACTTAGTGCCATGAAGTGTTCTCTTCCTCTTAACTTTTAACCCTTTTTCTGGTAGCAACCTTACCTTTCAAGTTTATCATTCTTTTATTTCAACTATGGACCAACATGAATTTGTTTCGGAGCCAAGAAATCCAATCTACTTGATTTGTATATCATGAGAGTTGGATTACCTGCCTTTCAGAAACCCCAGGCTTCTGAGTTGTCCTAATTTGGAAAAGATGTGCCCCCCGACAAAAAAACAATTATAATGCCTTTGTTTCAAATATTGTTCTTTTAACCATATCACATTCATATTAGGCAAAAATATTTCTTGTTGTTGACTTGAACATCAAATATCAAGAGGCCATGATGACTTTATGCATGCTCTTCCATCTGAACTCTTATTCAGAAGGAAGCTGAGTGCTTTCAGATGGGAAAGTATAGTAGCAATGAAGAAGGATAATGGAATAGTGTTTCTCTTTGGCCAATATGTCAAAATCCTGCAGAACCATAACAGGATCTTCCAGCTAATGAATCGAGCCCCCTGTGCACAACTGAACACCACATTGTGTTATTTTGTTCCAGAATATTTTACAGTTTCTTTTCTTTTGTTTTGTCTTTTTATTTCAACAAAATGAAAATAGAGCTCGGAAGTAAGTTGTGTGAGCCGCTCCTTTCAACATTTGCAGAATTTTCTACTGGCTGCATGCACCCAGCGGATCCTTTATTTGTGAATTTTAGTAGTCTGATTGCTGCTATGGAAATGTGATCCAAAATCATGATATTTTCCTGTGATAAGTGAAGTTCACAAGGAAGAAATCAACATATGTTTCTTATTCTTCTTTTTTGGGGGGAAAAAAGTGTAATACACATCTGCATGTTACCTTTTATTCTGGCAGCTGCAGCTTAAGCAGGCTTTTTCTATCAGCTCTCCTATATTACAGGCAGTGTAAGAAACAAACAACAAGACAAGATGATTTCTGGAAGCTAAAGGAATTCCAATCGAATAGGGCTACTCTATGACAGCTTTCCAGATTCGTAGAAAATAAAATGGGCAAAATTCTACTGTCAGACATAGTATAGTAATCCAAGAGAAGTAAATTTGGCCCCGTTGTTTCCAAGATGAAGTACCCACTTAAGCTAAGAAACTGCCACTGGCTGTTCTAATCTGACTTGTAGAATTCAGGATTTTCTCTGTACTCATTACTTGCTGGAGGCATCTGGTCCAGAGCCCAAACTTCCGTCATTTCTGTGCCACCAATACTACAACTTAAATTTGAAAATGAAACTTTATACAAATTCCTTTATAGAAATTTTAATCCATTTTTATACAAATGGATTAAAAATATTACAAAGAAAGGTAAAGGTAATTGTCAATTGATAGTTGGAATACTGGTATTGAATTCTAGCCATAGGCTGTTGCCTGCAGAAAGCTCTGAGCTGAGATTCTGCTCTTTTTTTTTTTTAAAAAAAAAGCAGGTGTTAGGAGACAAAGACAGAGTGGGACCAGCCTGTGACGTTTTTCTTGCAGTAATAAAGAATTAGAAGAGAACTGAAAGGAATAACTGTTTTCCATCTTAAGTATCACTTAAAGTCATCTAGGATACCTCTGTTGGTATGAATCCAGCAGTGCAGAAACATTGTTCTAATCTAACACACTTCATTCCATATGTGAGGAAACTAAAGGTCCAGTTAGAGTCAGTGAGGATGGAATCCACTGTTGTACATTGCTCTTTCTTTAGTACACTTCCGTGTAATGACCCATAGATGTCTAAGTGTTCTTTTTAGGAGGTATAGGGTGGGGGTAGTTGCCTGTTTTTCAAAGGCACACTTCAAAAATTGTAACCCTATTAATTACTGAGGGAAATTTTTCTCAACCATATATTGGATCTAAATACATGCTTGTAAATTTATTTTAGACTAGGACATATTCCATCTCTATAATAGCATAAAAAGGAGCCAGTTAACTTCGTTCCAGTGTTCTAATAAACACATAGTTGCAATGAGAAGTTATAACCTTCAACTGTTGTAGATTGGTAAAGATCATGTTGTAGGTAGGTGTCAGCTAAACTTACTGGCAGAAGGCACTGCATCTTCACTGTAGAGCAGATTTGGTGACATATTGGCTATCCTAGTTTCAGAACAAAATCACTGAACATTATGAACATATGACAGAAATCTCCCTGGCAGTAAAATCTTGCCCTGTGAGTTTTTATTCCTTCTACATAATTACCTTTCATTTCCATTGAAAAATAATACAAAATACTCTCTCTAGCATTAAAACTATACTTTGTAAAATGACTTGTCATCAAAGTAAAATAAGATTGGCATGACTGTTTGTTTGTTTGTTTTCATTAAATAGTTTAGAAGAACCTACTTCTCTTTTGGGAAAAAGCTTTTAGTTGTTAGCTTAAGGAACAACAAACCACATTTGTCTTATTGGAAAATCTTTCTTGGTACACAGTCAACACTGAATAAATATTTGTTGAAAAATAATATAGTAAATAAAGAATAGCAGAGTTCTTACCTAAAAATGTTTCCTAATACCATTTTTTGACTCTTAATTGACTCCTCATCAGGTACATACAATGATATTTAACAGTAGCTCAACATAATCTTACGAGTAGAGACTCCATCTGCCAGATACTATAATTGTCCTCTGACTTTTATCTACACTGAAAATTAAGGGAAATTTTTCCTAGGAAATGGTCTGGCCTCCCTTCAAATTTAATGGCAGTTCAAGATAAAAGTTAAACGAAATACAGTGAAGAAAAAGATAATAATTATGTGTTTTGTGTTATATTGCTGCTGGTTGAATAAAAGTTTTTTTTTTGTTGTTAATAAGAATCTCACTTATCACTGTGTTTTCATCAGGTTCAAATACCTAACCCAATCCATTTCAGACTAAACAGGGCTAATACCTGTATCTAGTCATGTAGGCATAGGAAGGTGCTCATTGCTCCAATATCGATGAAATTCCAGTTGCTTTGCATATTTCTTCCTATGTCTATTTGTCATGATACTGGGGCTTTAAGGAATGTTTTGGCTTTTTCTCATATGGTTAAATCCTTATGAGTCTTTCTGAATCCAACTTTACCTGGTAAATAGTTGTCCTAAGGACATCTCATCTATTGCTGTCTCTCTCCTTTCTTTTTTGCGGTGTTGGGGAAGCATGCTTCTCATTGAACCAGACACATAACCAGTTTGGACTTACCCCAGATATTCAAGGCATTATCCATGCAGTTATTTGCTCTTGTCAATTTTGTGCATGCTCTTTGGAAGGCATAAGATTGCTGTAGAAAGAAGGGAACCTTTCTGATATCAGATTCTGTCTTTTAGATTAAGAAGTGTAAAAATGGAGCAGAGGAAACTGAATGACCAAGCAAACACCTTGGTGGACTTGGCAAAGGTAAGTCTGAGGTGCTAAGCCCTCATAGTTGCATCTGTTGAAATCAGCCACTGCACAGTCACTAATCATTCATGTTTCAAGAGGATCCCAACCCAAATTTAATTAGTAAATCAAACCAACCAAGCACCCTAAAATGATGGTCCAAGTTAAAAGAATGTTTCTATAACTCTCATTTAATGTACTCTTTCCCTGTTACGTTATTCAACCGCATTCTGAAAACATTCCTAGTTACAGTGATTTGGAAGTACCATAAGAAGCTTAAGTGGAATAGGAGACAATACCTGTGGGATTTTTATTTGCATGTAAATCTCATCCCAGTAAGAGCAGAACTGCATCTGAGGTGTGAGTGTGATATTCAGGAATGAATAGGACTCATCAATTAAATTTTGTTCTATGTATTTTAAGCAAACTCAAAAGAATGCAAAGTTGAAATAAAAATAAAAGATACCACCTGTAATCCCAGCACTTTGGGAGGCCGAGACGGGCGGATCACAAGGTCAGGAGATCGAGACCATCCTGGCTAACCCAGTGAAACCCCGTCTCTACTAAAAAATACAAAAAACTAGCCAGGTGAGGTAGCGGGCGCCTGTAGTCCCAGCTACTCGGGAGGCTGAGGCAGGAGAATGGCGTAAACCCAGGAGGCGGAGCTTGTAGTGAGCTGAGATCTGGCCACTGCACTCCAGCCTGGGTGACGGAGCGAGACTCCGTCTCAAAAAATAATAATAATAATAAAAAATAAAAAAATAAAAGATACCAGAAATTACATCCTAAAATGAAAGTTATCACCCCAAAGTGATCATTTTTTATGGTTCTTTCTCCATTTCATTATTTCAAAATCATACCACTTTTTAAAAAGTATATTAACGGTCTCCAAATTATTCTACCTTATTTGCAACATTTATCTGATCAATTTCTGGTTGTTTCTCCCCACATAAAACCCATCCTTAAAACATAAGTATTTGTCAGCAATCAAAACATTGCATTTTCCTGGTTGAGTTCTAAAGGTGGTATTAGAATAGCATTTATATAATTGTTCAGCCTTTTACCCAAATGCTTTGAAAGAGACAACTCTCAGTTGCATCTTACAAACTGTTTTTTTGGTTTGAGAAATCAGCCATGATTTTACTAAAGCCTCAAGTATAATCCATAAAAATTACAAGTGTTTGTTCTAGTCTCATTAAATAATGCATCTAAATTACATTCATTTCAATGTATATCAGTACCACATACTAGATGAAGATGCTAAGTATTTAATGATTTACCCTAGGAGAGCATATATCATGCATATAAACTGGACAGCACACATATATAAGGTATGAAGACATCCTCGATTAATGTGTGTAAATGTGGCTGTTACTTGGACATATGAAAAAAAGATGGGCAAGCTCCATCACTCCTAGGTTAAATGATTTTTAATGGATAGTTTTATGGAAAAATGAACAGACCACATTGGAATATGATGCAGAGATGTAATTTTACTTCAAGAGTACCACTGTGAGGCAAGATGCTATTTCTTTATTAATGTACTTATTATGACCACAGGACTGTACGTACCATAAAGGCTCAGTATTTTTGTAAATGAATGGATGCTGTTCACATATTCTCAAGACTGTGTAGTAAAATTAAGTGTATGCACTATGTCTCTGATCAAACTGAAACAAGGTGCCTATATTCTGAATGATAACTCCCTTATCAGTTCATTTACCATCTTTAAAAGATTGTTAAGCAGAAGAAGAGCATATGATAGAAGAGAAATGAAGTAGAAGGAAGGACAGCTTAAATGAAGGGATCTCAGACTTGGGAAAGTCTGCACTAAACTAAGATTAAAACCTTTTCTTCCCCTTCACTAGCCTTTCCCCTTTCTAGCTCTGAGCTGATCAGTCCCTTCTCTTTGTCTTTTGGCTACTCAGGAAATATACCTAGAAATCCGAGTTATGGATATCCTGTGATCAAGACAGTCAATTTCAAGGTTCACTAGGAATCCAGAAACATTTTCCTATTTTAACCACTTAGCTTTGATTAAGCCTTAGCCAGTAGGTCAGAGCCACAGCCAACAAGGTAGACTGGTAACTTTAGTGTCTCCCTCAACTAATATTCTCTCAATTATCTGTAAAATTTCCATTTGACCCAATGGAGAGAGGCCTATAATTTGAAACAAAGGATAACAAACAATATTTAGGAATTTATTGCTTTAAATTACAAAATTGTAAAACCAGTTAATCCTAAACTTCATTTACATTTTACCCTCAACATTTCTGCTAAATCCCAATACTGATTCTGCCCATTTTTTAAAAATTACCCCTGCCCTAATGTTATGTGTTGCAAAATGAATTTGATGTGTACTAACCTTTGTGACAACCTTTAACATACATATATAAATATTAAATTGAAATGTTTTTGTCTATCCTGATACCACCTACAATCATTGGGCATACCACCAGTAGCAGTACCTGCTCCACATTTTCTACAGCTGAACCAAAGATCTTATATTTCTGTTATAAATCCTAGCATTGAACAGATACAATGAATTGACTTTGCAAGATGAGCTGTTCAGTTTGCTGACACCCGTGTTATACTGAATGCCACCAGCAAGAGACTGGAGCTAAACCTCTGAGAGGTGGACAGTTTGTGTTCAGGGCAAGTATAATTAACCTTCTCAATCCTGTTTTTCAGACCCAGAATATCATGTATGATATGATTTCTGACTTAAACGAAAGGAGTGAAGACTTCGAGAAGAGGATTGTTACCCTGGAAACAAAATTAGAGACTTTGATTGGTAGCATCCACGCCCTCCCTGGGCTCATAAGCCAGACCATCAGGCAGCAGCAGAGAGATTTCATTGAGGCTCAGATGGAGAGCTACGACAAGCATGTCACTTACAATGCTGAGCGGTCCCGGTCCTCGTCCAGGAGGCGGCGGTCCTCTTCCACAGCGCCACCAACTTCATCAGAGAGTAGCTAGAAGAGAATAAGTTAACCACAAAATAAGACTTTTTGCCATCATATGGTCAATATTTTAGCTTTTATTGTAAAGCCCCTATGGTTCTAATCAGCGTTATCCGGGTTCTGATGTCAGAATCCTGGGAACCTGAACACTAAGTTTTAGGCCAAAATGAGTGAAAACTCTTTTTTTTTTCTTTCAGATGCACAGGGAATGCACCTATTATTGCTATATAGATTGTTCCTCCTGTAATTTCACTAACTTTTTATTCATGCACTTCAAACAAACTTTACTACTACATTATATGATATATAATAAAAAAAAAGTTAATTTCTGCACATACTTGTTTGATCACTTGACATTTCTAAAGCTTCACTTTTCTCACATTATTTTCAAGGTAAAATAGCCGATTATCATCTGATGCACACTGATAATTTTGATAGCCAAAAGTTTGGCTGGTTGGAAAAAAAGACTTTCAATTCCTCTATACCCTAAGATTTTTCTCTTGTTATGAATCATTTGCATCAATCATTTGAACCAGGATAGCTTACTAGTTTTTGGGTTGCACTGTCTCATTTTTAATTCAATTTTTTTTCAAAATGTAGAAAGTCAGTCTTTTATCAAAACATATACAAATAAGGAGTAGAGATGCTTTCAAGAATTTTTTAATTCCCAGTTTACTAGCAAATTTATAGGAACAAAGTATCAGGGTACATCACTGTCTGTCTGTAAACAGATGGTGCAGAATTTTAGTTCTAAACTAGTTATTTCGTATCTTTCCATTTATTTATTATGAAAGGCCAAGCATGCACTTTAAGTGTTTGGGGCCTACATGTGTATATTCATAGATACATGTTTGCATACAACAGCATAATGAGCATACATAAGCCTAACTCCTAACATATCCTCTAGTAAGTGATCTCATCTTGGTCTGTACTTACATATTTAACACAAGTGAATAGCATCTAGTAAATTTCACGTGTTTTAGGACACTTGTTTCCTGGATGGTTAAGGTCAGTTTGTGTGAAAGAGAACTGAGTGGTTATTGCTACAAACCTAGCTGTTTGCAGATTTGCTCTAAGAATCCACTGGGTTTAGAAGAACCACGTGTGAGATGATAGCAATATGGAATTTCCTCATGTGGTGTTATTCTCTGGAGTTTACAAGAAAGCTGATGGTGGTAGGGATAATGCGTCATAAAAATAAGGCTTCGTTTGGACATCTCTGAAAGCAACCTGCTTGTATCAGTCTAAACCTAAAAATATTCAATTTTCAGGGCAATCTGCTTCAGAAGCTTTTGTCCCCCCTCCACTTCATTTTATACCATACCCTTTGGTGTCAACCTTACAACATTCAAGTTGCTAGTATGTTTTTCCTTCTTTAGCACAAACTAGAGTGATATATTTGATCCACCCTACATAGTCCAATGGATAAAATAACATTTATAACATTCTGCATAAATAATTTAAAAACCAAACAGTTCCTTTCAATATCAAGGATATAAAACTATGATTGCTTTAGATTGCATGAGAACCACTTGCCATTTACTGTCTATCCAAAATGGCTGAAACTAAAGTCCATTCATATAGCTTATATAGGCCTCTGTTGGATGAGAACGAGGCTTGGAATTTTTTTTTTTTTTTTTGATAATAAGTGAAAGGAAACAAGAACACTAGTTATAGAAACATATTGCCAAGTTAAATGAACATCAAGATCCTACATCATCAAGATTTCTATTTCATGGATGAAATCAAATCTCATTTTACGTATTTTGGGTTACATACAAGAATATATCAAGCATTTGGTATAAACACCGGATGTAAGAAGGAGAAATTTTGGAAAAACATTAATTTGTTCTTACAATGTATATAGTTAATTCTTGTATCTTCTACCTTTGTTGTGACTAAAAGGCAGAGTAGCAGCTGAAGTTTATCATCTTACAGATCAATGAACACTATCACCCCAGAACATTAGGGGACTAGGGAAAGAATAATGTATTGCTTCTCTTGTCAAAGATGAGAGAAGACAAAGATTTTAATTTATATTTCTTTACCTTGCATTTATTCTCTTCTTTTTAACTGTAGCTCTTCTAGAATAAGTCACTCTCTTATCCTTCAAAATCAATTTTTCGTTTCCTATTCTATGTGGAGTATATGAAAACTGGTAAATATTAAATTTTTTATTTCTATTTTTTTAAATGCCAAATAACCACAGTGTTAAAAAGAGGAGGGGACCCATCGGTTACATAGACATTCTGGCCTGTGATTTGCTGAATCAACCCCACTTTAGGCAGAGCTACCAAGTCTCCTCCCAAATGGCTTTGAATTAGGCAGAGTCCTCTGAGCGCTGCTTAGAGGACTGCTCTTGTGGTGATAAATGCCCTGACTTGCATTTTGCGTTTCAGAATTCCCAATAATAATTAAGTTCTGTTTGTCTCATCTCAGCCTGCCACACCCTGGTCTGTTTCTCTACAGCCAGCACAAGCCATTTGGCTTCTGCAAATCATTTTAAATTACAGTGGCACCATCTTCCTCAGTAATTTTCATTTCCTCCACTTACACTCAATGTCAAGGTTAGTCACTAGAAAGAAGACCCTGTGCTCTTACAGAAATGAGGATGAGCCAAATGCATAACAGATACTACATTTTGGAAATTTCATGTGTTTCTCTCTAGTTTCTCCTCCCTTTCTGTTTTCCAAGAGTCTCTCCATCAAAACATCCTTAGTAATCGAGTAATTATGCTCCAAAGCAGAATTTGGGAATTCAGATAAAAAGCTAGGGGTTAGGGTTAATATGAACATCAAGCAATGGATTAAATAATACAGTCCTCCTATTTTTGAGCTTTGCTCAGTTTTGAGAAATAGCATGGCAAAGTGGAAGGAGTCAGACTTGAGTGTGGAACTTAGCCCTGCCACTCACTAGCTCTGTGTACTTGAACATCATTGATTCTCAGAGACTTTTGTTTTCTCATTTGTAAAATGAGCCTAAAAAGAGACAGCTATGGTGGGGGCAGGGCGGGGGAAATCTGCAAAGCCTGGCATCTATTTCATCAAACGATGGTAGTTACTTATATTACTACTTACAGCAAAAGGCAGCAAATATTAAACACCTCCATTATCTGCTTCTAACTGTTAGCACATGACTATATATATATATATATATGTACACACACACACACACACACACAAAATCTGTTCATAAATACGATCCAGAAAAGTAGAGGGTGTTTGGTTAGGGAGTGCTGGGAAGGTCACCTGAGAGTTGGACCAAAGGGTTCATTTACTTTTCCAGACCCATCCCTGTAGGTCCTGAGCCTCCACCCACTTCTCCTAGTCTGTGTAACACACCCTGATGCCATTTATGTGTTTTAACTTGGGGTCCCCAACCCTGGGGGCCTGGCCAGTTAGGAACTGAGCTGCACAGCAGGAGGTGAGCGATGGTACAGCAAGTAAAGCTTCATCTGTATTTACAGTTGCTCCTCATGGCTCACATTACCACCTGAGCTCTGCCTCCTGTCAGATCAGTAGCGGCATTAGATTCTCATAGAAGCACAAACTCCATTGTGATTGCGCATGTCAAGGATTTAGGTTGCGAGCTCCTTATGAGAATTTAATGCCTGATGATCTGTCACTGTCTTCCATCAGCCTCAGATGGGCCCTTGTCATTGCAGGAAAACAAGCTCAGGGCTCCTACTGATTCTACATTATGGTGAGTTCTATAGTTATTTCATTATATATTACAATGTGATAATAGAAATAAAGTGCACAATAAATGTAATGCACTTGAATCATCCTGAAACTATTGCCCCACAACCCCCAGTCCAAGGAAAAACTGCCTTCCACGAAACTGGTCCCTGGTGCCAAAGAGGTTGGAGACCACTTTTTCACTGACTTTTCAAGCAATCCACTAAGAAAAAAATTATCAAACGGGTTGTTTGATAAATAAAAACCTAGGAGATGTTGAGAGTCCTGGAAGACCCTGCAACAAGCAGTATAATACAAAGGACTTCTCTCCATCTCACTGTCACTACTGCTAGAGCCCTGATGAACGTGATCTTTTTCAGTTTGTTAGACTAGGAAGCAAAAACATGCCCTGTCAATGCTGCTTTCTAGTTCTTCTGTTAAATATGTCACGAGTCAGTGAACCCAGAAATGGAAAACATATAGTTTTCCAGGTATTTTTAGAAATACTTAGAATTTGTTCCCCCTAGAAAAAGCCTTTTTCTCCAGTTATGGTTTCCTCTACCCCAAGTGGGCTCATGCTCCCTAGGTGGTAGTATGGAATGAAAGATGCTACTCAAGTGATTAGAAATTACTATGGCTGAGCTCATTGGTATGTAGCCTATAGTCCCAGCTACTCAGGAGGGTAAGGCAAGAGGATAGCTTGAGGCCACAAGTTCGAGACCAGCCTAAGAAATATAGCACCCCATTGCAGAGAGCAAAAGAGTGAGTGAGAGAGAAGAAAGAAAGGAGAGAAGGAGGAAAAGAAAAGGAGGACGAGAGGAGGAAGGAAAGAACTGAAGGAAGGAAGGGAGGGAGGAAGAAGATTTACTAGGGCTACAGTGTCAGGAGTACTATATTAACCTTCGGTTAGTAACTTACTTAACCTTAGGTCCAGCTAAAAGTTGCGTCTAAGAGTGGCCGTGGTCAGCAGATTGTGACCAAGCAGAGTAGAACAGAGAGACACTTTGTTTGAGTTTCTCTACTCTGTTAATAACTTGCCTTTCCTGCCCCCTCTTAGTAGGAAAGCAGTCGCTCTCCATAACCCAACTCTTTTAATCTCTGTTGGAGACAGGTCTCATTTAATCCTTTAATTCCTTCATCAACCCTACATTTATTTCCATTTTACAGATGCAAATACTAAAGGGAGTATCTGTTTCTAAAACGAGTTCAAGGAAATAAGTTCCTTTCTCAAAAACTTAAATTATCAATTTCCCTGGGGTTTCCTTCCCTGCCCCCCACTCCCAAATAAAGAAGCCTATAAACCAGATAATATTTCTCGTTTGTCCATGTCACTAATAAAAATATTTGAGGGCAGTGAAAATGCAATGTCCTCTCCTAAGGTAAAATATATATATATATTTGCAGACTCTGAACTGGTTCAACTCAAAGGAAAAGTACACCTGCACAGTGGGAGATTATGTGGGTCTGAGTCATAAAAGAATCCAACAGATCACAGAACGTACTCGGTGTTGTACCCACATTTTGAGGTGATGCCACGTGTTTCCTCTGCTGAACCTGGGTCAGGCAATGAACCCTCAGCCATCCAGGCCCATCACCTCCCCTGCTGAAGAGACTGTGGCCACCAGACCTCCTTAGGTGGTCGATGAGGGATGATATGAGA